TTCCAGATCATTAAATTGAATGGTTGATGCCCAGTCGGAGGTATCACTTTTCGGAAACCGGTCAGAGGCACCCAGCCATGAACAATGCGGACGTCTAGGTTCCAGCAGTATTGACCCTGCTGCTGGAATCATTCTGGACTGGACCATTTATCGCTTGTAGGGCACCCAGGGACAGTATAAAAGGACCTGTCATGCCTTCGACGCATACCCACGCAACTTGAAGAGTCATCAGCTCAGTCGCAAATAACTCTCAGCTGCTCTACAATACCGTATTGTAAGACTTTGCATTGTGATCCCTGCTCTCGTGTCATTCGCTAACACGCTTCCCTAGTTAAATATGCTCAGCCTGCGTTCTAGAATCCTTGCGGTCGCCTTCTCGGCACTCGTGCCGCTCGTCGCAGCCAGCCCTGCTGTGAGCCCCGGTGATGGTCGCGTGTACTGCGACCAGGGAGACAAGGGCGTCCCAAGAGCGTTTGCGCAGGACATAATCAACAACATCAACACGAACCAGAAGGATTTCGGCATCCCCGGCAGGGACGGGGACTTTGGCTTCGGGTCGAGCTGCCTCAGCCACAGCCAGGGCGGCGGCTCTTACTGCTGCCAGGTTGCGTACTTGAATACGAACGGCAACGTCGGCACGGTTACGATGACGGCCAACACCAAGTCGACAGGCGCCGACGCGCTCGGTGGCAAGACGGACGGGGCCACTCTGAAGAGCCTGGCTACCGACATCCTGAACACCTGCTGGTCCGGCAATGGTGATCACTCGGGTCGGTGGGCGGGAGCTGGATTCCAGGTTGGGTTGAGCGGAGGCACTTGCTAGATAGGTTCTACTATCCTGAACGCGTCGTTGGCCGCATAGCTAAGATGATGGGAGGGGAGAAGGCGTGACCTATTCTATTTGCTCTCCTCTGATTGATGAGTTCATTGGATATCTGCCGCTGACCTGCCCTGCGTTTGACTCTGTCCAGACTGAATGTAGTTTAGGTAGGTGGGCACATCAATGGTCGGCCATCAGCTTCGACTCACAACCTAAGGCTTGAAGGCTTACCTGTTTCGAGAGCAAATTCACCATTACACATCGCTAACAGAAGACTCTATTAATCGGCACCAATGACTTCCAAAGCGGAGTGGCGACAAGCGCTTCTGCAGCCTATCACGGGTCATCCGCATTCGTCCAGCCAGGCCGAGAAAACTTGGAGTAGGTGGGATGCATTATCTTGCAAGAGCTTGGTAGTCCGTAGATTCATGGGAACTGAGATCGTGTGATAGGGCTGTAACGTTCTTGCGAGCTATCACCATATATTCGGATCTTTCGTAGTATTGCAAAAGTCAGCCGGATTCATGACCCAGCACCCCACAGTGGCAATCTTTCAGGTTCGACGAGAAGCGAAATGTATACGCATTGCTTTATATGACTACTGGGTCAGTTCAAGCTCTCCGCAAGTACTGAATTCGCCGGCGTCCACGATCAACGTACATGTCTCCTCGGCAGAGTGACGCGTCCTCTACTGTACGTTCGGCTCACGAAAAGTTAGTCCGAAATCCAAGATTGTGGGCTGCGACATCAGGAGGTGCCCTATTCAGGACCCATTACTTGAACCTAATCAACTGCGCCTGGATATAAATACCATGGGCGGATGGCCACAGTCCACAGTTCCCTATACCTCCCTCACTATTTTGTCTCGAGACCACCATCGCCATGGTCAGTCTAACAGCCAAGCTCGGAGGAACAGCTTCACAGATTACTGTGGGGAAGATCGGAGTAAGTGGACTGTCCTTCTTGTCGACTCGGGGGCGCCTAACAGCTGAATCCGATAAGCATGGCCTGATGAACATGACGTACGTGAATTATACCTCTAATATCATGCTACGAATCTAAGGCTCGACTTCCAGGTGGAAGGAGGTCCCGACGCCCGATGAAGAATGCTTTGAAGCCATCAAGGCCGGTGTCGATTCGCTCCCGGAAGGAGCGAGAATGCTTTTGAACAGTGGTCAGTATGCCGCTATGTCTCAGCCATCTGCGCTGATATGGAGTGTTCCTTCCTTTCCTTAGGTGAATTCTACGGGCCCAACTATGGCACGGCAAACCTGGAACTCCTATCAAGGTTCTACGAGAAATACCCGGACTATGCCGATAAAACGTTCTTGTCTGTAAAGGTGCAATGCTCCCAATGTCGGATGTGATTCCGGGAGAGTGGGCCGTAACTGATATACCCGTTTTAGGGCGGCATTCGCCCTGATAAATCAGGACTGAAAGGGAGGTAAATAGAGCCGTGCCTAAAGCGTCGGGAAACCCATTCTGACCTCGAATTTTGCAGCTTGGAGGCCCTGCGGGCCAGCGTCGACAACATCAACAATACCCTCCGAGGCAAGAAGAAGCTTGACCTTTTTGAAATGGCTCGGGTCGACAAGAATATGCCGATTGAGGAGGCTGTTAAGAACATGGCCATCCTGGTCAAGGAGGGCCTGTTTGACCATATCGGCATGTCGGAATGTAAAGCTGAGACACTGCGGCGGGGCAATTCCGTGAGCCGCAATACGGGTTTCAAGGGGTGGCATCGTTGCGGTGACTGATATGTTCTGAAGGTCCACCCTATAACGGCTGTTGAAATCGAAGTTAGTCCTTGGTCTTACGAAGACGAGACCAAGAAAGGTGAGCAAATGTCGGGGAAGTTACCGGCTTGGATCTGATTAGCTTTCTGCAGTCATCGCAACCGCTCAAGAACTCAATATCACTGTGGCCGCTTACTCGTGGGGAAATCAGCTGTATTTTTTGCGTTTACTGACTGTAGAACGTAGGCCCGTGGGAAGGGGATTTTTGACTGGTCAAATCAAGAGTCTTGACGATGTCCCGCGTATGTTATTTGAACTGGACTTGGGTAGTCACTCTGACGGGGAATGGCCCAGAGGGTGACCCGCGGCGGCATTTGGCTCGATTCCAGCCTGAGGTATGTAGTAGGAGCTCAACGACGCCGCTGAGTACGGAAATAGGGCTGATGGGCATGCAAACGTACAGAACTTCCAGCATAACCTTGCACTCCTGCACGACTGGATGGCTTATGCCGAACAGAAGCAAGTGACTCCGGCTCTTTTGGCCCTCTAATCAGTAATACTAAGCCGAAATAATCACAGGAATAAAAAGCGTGTTCTGGAGAACTTGGCCTCTGTGAATGTTAATCTGTCCGAACAGGACATGGCGGATATTGGCAAGATAATCACGTCGCACGAAATCAAAGGTGGAAGATACCGTGACGGCGATGAGGAAATCCAAAACTTGTGGGGGTAATAGGTCAAGCTCATTGACTCGGATGGGGTAGCTTTCCCTCTGCAGTTGTATAATTTCGCCGACAGCGGCGAGCTGTGAGCTATTACCAGAGACGTGGTTCACTGCAGCACTGCGTGTTGGGGTTATCTCACGGCCAGCCGTTAAAATGCTGGAAACTGGATGGCTCATTGAATTCCGGCCATTTTTCGGACTGTCACTTCCTGGTCAGGCAAATGGACAGCTATTAGCTATCATTTACATTTTGGCCAGCCAACATACTGTCTGAAATATGCAGTGATAACTTTACGGCCATTGCAACAGTCAACATAATGACCATGTATTGTCTGGACGGAATCTCATGGCCAATATGTGTTGCCGAAAAGTGGACAAACAGCCACATTTTGGCTGGCGGGCAACTCTGACCTAAAAGTGGCCGGAAAGTGGACAATCAGTCATGTAACGGCTGGCCATTATTTTTCAGGACACGCAGTTCTGGCATGTACTGTACTTTTAGCAACCTTCCTAGCAGAGCTTGTCTGATCTCTGATACCGGTCTCCCGGGGCAAACTGGATTATTGCCTGCTTTGATATAAGGCTGTAGGACAGTCGCCATACTGATGCGCCTGGCTTGTATGCCCATAGTCGAAGACTCGGAGAGCCGGTTATCGACCTCGTCCCGAGTCTCTGGCGATGGTCCACCTGAGACACCTTGGGTGTCAATGGGACAACGCGGGACCGCAATGGTCCAATCAGGCATCGTGGCGCCAATCAAAAACACTGCATTTGTTCAGGTGGTATCTCCGTGAGGCCCATGCCTTCGAGCTTCTGAAGCAACTGATGCAGTACACTATCAATTGCATATTACTCAGAGACTCTTTGGGCGGTCCTGAGGTCAGCGGTACACGTGCTTGAAGAGGACTCTCGCACATCTCTCACCTCTACCTTGCAGGCATCCCCGGCGCACGCTGGTTCGTAGCGAAGCCGTCCCAGGAAGCTCGCAAATCGGTCGGGTTTTGTCCAGTTAAGCCGAGGTACAAGGTCATCGTGGTACAGGGACCATTTTGGTCAGGACCTCAGTATAGGAAATAACCCTGAAGATGCGACCCTTATTCTATCTTGCCCGCCGGCGTACAGCTGCAGCTGTACTCGCATCTGGAGGTATACTTGGGACTGTAGCTTACACACGAAATGATTCAGCTCAGAGTTTCGCTGTGGACCCGGCAAAGAGGGAGTTCACTACTTCCTCTAAGTTCCCTGTGCCCCTGGGATATAAAGGGCCGATATGGACAATCCGGAATGACTACCCAGAGGATGTGCCGTCGGAAAAGGTGGATGCCCCCTGGCAAGATATTGATTTCAAGAAGCATCCGGAACGTTTCTGCGAGGCAATCAAGAGGTATTGCATGGAAGGGAACAAGGAAGTCGACTTCAACGTCCAGCACAATAAGGCTCGCCATATTGGTTCTCCATTTATATCTTAGTCTAACCTACTAACCTTCCTTACTGACAGAAACGAAATTGGTACCATGCGGCATGGCTGGTGAGTGGCTACTGAATAATCGCGTGCGATTGCCAATTGACTGTGTAGCATTATGCCCTCAATGGTAGGGAGCCGTTACATGGTCTGACCTTCGAGAGGCCGGTGTCGCCTTTCGAGCTTTCCCCGAAACAGAAACGTCCACTTCAAGGTATACAGTACACACAGACTACACGACTACGACCCCCCTGACTCACGTTTAATAGCGTGGACGTGCGGGTACTATAATGAGCGTGGTGCAACAGTCTTTGGTAAGATTTGGAAGGACGGTACAAGGCCGCGATGGGACGAACATGTCAAATTTCCCAATGGTACACTAGTCTTCAAGATCCTCATGGTCGACCAAAAGGACGACAACGAAGCGCCCATTCTGAAGGGCGCGCCTCAATGGGATGCAGTCAGTACATTCGGTCGCTCGATCTCACCTCTAACCTATACTTACACGCCAGGATCGAAGGTTATAGTCAAGGAAAGGGATAACTACGATGACCCGAATACATGGTCGGATCGGAACGACTACGTCTCTAAGATCCGACTTCTCCAAATGGATTACGCCGTGGCAGACGACCGGTCGCCAATCGGGTGGATATGGGGATCCTTCATGTACGACGGAAGGCGTAAAGACAAGGATGTAAGTCCAGCGTAATCGGATGAGCGGCGGGAACAGCTCACTCGGCATCTAGCCTTGGGAACGCCTGACGCCTTTGGGTCTCCAATGGGGGAATGATCCTCAGCTTGACCAGCAAGCCTACGAGAGCGGAGAAAGAGTCAGAGAGTCGTGGGTGAATCCAGCCGCCAACGATCTTCTCGAGGTGCTGCACAGTAGCCGACCCATGTGGGGTTGGAACGGACGTTTGAATGGTAGGCGCTATAATCCCAACACATGGCCTTGAGCGTTGATGAGGTGTTTTCCTTTAATGGCAGGCCCCGCCGATAACTTCATCTCAGCATGTGCTTCCTGTCACTCTACAGCTGTTCGCTCCCGCGCCCTTCCTCTACTCACACAGGAGACTGTCATCCGCACCAAGCGTGGTACGTACGTCCCCGCGGGATGTAAGGACGGCGTGACCCGGGGCTGCGACGCGGCTGCCATGGAATTCTTCCGGAACATACCAGCTGGAAAACCATACAGGGCGGGTCAGATATCCGCGGACTACAGTCTACAGTTGATGATGGGATGGATGAATTACCAGCAGTGGTTGAGAGATAACAAGCAGGAGGGATGGGGAGAGCGAACTTGGAGAGGGTTGACTGGACGGCAGGACATATATGTGACGCGGCTAGCGAGGATGGGCGCATCCCCTACGCATGTAGACGAGTGAACCTTTTTCGATAGTATCTCCAGCGTCGGCTCTCTTCAGGCTTGAATACAAGACAGGATTTCGGCAAAGTCCGAGTGTGTTGTAACCGCCAGTACTATGTGCGGTGTCCGCTTGGGTCGGCACGCGGACTCGTCTGCCCCATAGTATATTCGCGACGATTTAGATGCAGGTAAGATCTTACACCGAACCATAATCAAGGAGGAACCATGCCGAGAGAACCGCCGCGGGGTGTGCGATGGGGCACCAACCAGGAAGAAATCCATGCCAAGAGATTGCGGGGTGAATTATCCTGCGCGGAGTGCAAGCGGTGGGTCTAAACATAGCTTAACTTTGGACCTTGTGCGGCCTGATACATGATATATGGCGTCTATCAAGGTCGAAGCTCAAGTGCGACAAGCAGATACCTTGCGGGTCGTGTAAGCGCAGAGGATGCGAGAAGATATGTCCCAATGGTCAGTATATGTCGAGATCATCCGGGTAGGACGTCTTATAATTATATTATACTCAGGTGCATTGGCCGGCAGCCAAGGCTCAAAGTATGGTGACGCCTTCGCTCCAATATTCATATTCTAACACGACTGGTGTAGACATCTTTTCGCTGACACAGAAGAGTTGCGCAAGGCAATCGCGGAAATGTCGCATCGAATTCATCTGCTCGAGGATGCCCTGGAGACCCTGCACGCGAGTCAAGCAAGCACTAGGCATCCATTGCTCACCGACAATTTGAAGGCTATCAAATATTTGCCCGAGAAGCGTAACCTCCCCCAAGAGCAGCCCCCGAGCAATGATGAGATAACACCTATATCGGATGCTCTTGGTACATTGTCTGTTACTGACACAGGCGACGTCAAGTATTACGGCCAGTCAGCCGGGTCAGAAGTACGTATTAGTCTGCTAAGATCTATCGTGGCGTGAGGCTCAACCCTGGTAGCGTATACTAAGCGTGAATTCTGTTGTCTCTTGTGTCTCCTGTCCATCCATCCTCAGCATGTCTGACAGGTGACTGCTGGCTGGGAGCCCTTTGACGACGATACCATCGCCGGTTTCTTGCCTCCGAGTACATGCACGGCCCTACACGACCTCGTATGGGACAGCCTTCCTTCTCAGATGCGTGCGTCTCTCCCCTGCTGGCTTTGCGGACGACACAAATTACCTCATTTTTAATCATAAGGGGCATGGTCCCTCTGCGAGGCGTATTTCGAGAATGGCCAATTTTTTATCCCCTCAATAATGCGTGAGGAGGCCGTGGATATACTGGTGCCGATCTACAGACGCTTAGCTCAAGAAGGCAAGCCACCGTATCCCCCAACTAGTGGTCACAACACCTGGGCCCACAAGCTCAGCCTCTTGTATATGGTTCTCGCCATCGGCGCTCTCATGGACTTTACGTTGCCACCGAATAATCCAGAAGCTGCAAAATATTCTCAGCTGGGTAGAGCTGCGCTTTCCCTACGCTCTGTGGCAGAAAACCCCCAGATTGAGACTATTCAGACTCTCGCGCTCCTCGGTGGCTATCGCCATATGGCAGGTGGCAAAGCCTGCATTGATAGTGCCTGGTCCTACGCGTCTTTCAGCATCAAGCTAGCCCAAAGTGTAAGCATTTCTCTCTTCAATCGATGGTGTATTAGCCTTACGTCCGCTAATTAGGTCGGCCTTCGTAAGACGGGGCAGAGCGGATATCAATGTTGTACTAACCATGTGTCCTTTGTCAGACCGTGACTGCGCCCTGTGGGGTCTGGATACCAAGACGGTACAGCGGCGTAGGCTGACTTTCTGGTCGATGGCGGCAACGGAGATCTTCTTCGTGTGTAATCGCGTACTGAACATACCAAGTCTAGACATTAACCATCATTTAGGCTTTACATACAGGACGCCCGCCTTCGTGCTCGTTGTCATATGTAGACTGTGAGTTCCCTATCTACGACGGGCAAAATAGCACCAAAGACGAAGCAGCAACTCAACTGTGTGCGTACTGAATGACCCCGTTCCTGTCGTGAGAGATCTACTGAGCCAGCAAATAGTTAAACTGTGGCACTTCCGCTCTCTCAAGGAATGGATAATTCCAGCTTGCCAACATATGATGGCCGTCCCAGGTCCAAATTACCAGAGTTTGCTTGCACTCGAAAGAAAAATGTTGCAAGAGACTCCTCCCAGCTTCGAGTTCTTGACTGACCCAGACACATCGGGACGGCCATCTAGGGAAGCACGAAGCTATATAATGTCCCTGCTGCGGGTAAATAGTTAAGCGAATTTCTCACTTGCCATGCGATGCTCTCTCACCACTATTAACAGCCATGATGTACATTCATCGCAGCTTCTTGTGCGTATCAGTGAAATAAGCGTGGTTGATGCGATGTTGATTTTCTCGACTGCAGTGCGCAAGCAATCCTCGATAAGCCAGACAATCCGTTCCTAAGCCCATATGCGCATTCGTATCTTACAGCTTATCGCTGTGCTTCGACCCAACTCTCAGTCAGCTTACATTTCTATAACAAATGCCCACTATTCTTCCAACGCCTAACACCGTTCTGGACGAATGCTTTCACGGCCGCCGTGAGTTAGTCGAGAGCTGGCTCCCTTGCTCCGTTGAACAGATGCCTTTTAGCTCATCGTGGGCTTCGTCGTCTCGCGGACGCCTCATGTGTGGCTTGCCAAGACTGCTTTTGTCGATTTTGGCAACGCTATGGCCTTTTTCGAGTCTGTCGCATCTAAGAATGCTCGCGCGTGCAAATCGCTGGTATGTGCGTATTAGTCTTGTCTTGATTGATGGTGATAACAGAGTCCATAAAGATGATTCTCCGCAAGCTGAAAGACAAAGCCTACAGCACATACTCGCAATCTCAGGAGCGGATTCATCTCACGGATGATCTAGCTGTATTCGGCGGGCGGGCTTCCGTGATACCTGTCCAAACCCAACCCGACGTTCAACTCGACTTATCAGAGCAATATCCGTCCGCTCCTCTGGAGTTTGACGTCTCCCCCGTCGCAAGCGAGACAGGAACAGACGGTGATACTATGCCTCTCTTCCCCGAGATAGTATCTCTGCAACTCGACCCAACAGTGGGGGTGCAGCCGGAGCTGCAGGCTCAAGGGACATGGCTTTCAGAACAAGAGGATCTCGCCCCCGGCCTGTACCCCATTGAGAACGTCGCCGCACAGATGTCTGTGCCGGACGGTTTTGCGGATGATATAGGTTCCGCAGACGGTCTGCCTGAATACGGTCAGTCTGCCGGGGAAGGCGTAATGGAAGGACAGTGGGCTAGTCTGCTGCGGGATGCGGGACTACTCGAGCCGTCTCAAGGTTACTATACCAACTTCTAATGCTCAGAACGAGGGGTGTTTTCGGGAGGCGGTAAGGCTTGCGCCTATATGATGTCCTTGAGGACACGGATATGGTCAAGAGGTACGACGACGTACGACGTACCGAAGAACGAATTCGGATGCTAATGGCTTGGGAACTGGTAGTGAAGTCATTCGGTGGAAGGAGCGCATGCCCACCGCTCACATGTCACAGGTAATACACGCAGGAGCCCGGCCAATTAGTTACATAATTATGGATCTACAGAGGGCGCCAGTCACAATACACGGACGATTTCGCCAGAGACGAGGCAAGTGATCACAGATACTCCTTCACAAACTCCTTCTTCAGCATTCGCTTCATCTCGCCGCAAGTTGCGCACTTTCTCGGCTCAGTTTCCCAGACTTCCTCGGGATAGTCGTAGTAGCGCCGGTCGGGCTCGGGGTGCATATCGCCTGCGTACATCGCTCCGGTACGTCCATTCCCGTGGTACCACTTGGGGTCGCGTACGCAGTAGTAGTCGCCAAAGTTAGAGCTCGGGCAGTAGCAGGTCCCTGTAAGTTCGGGAGAGGATGACCCCTTGTCAGTTTTGTGGCTCACGAATGAGATAGCGTCCCACTTACCTCTGTTATTCGAACAAGAACAGCTTTCACAGGTCATATACCCGCAGTCAGGACATTCCTGGTCACAGGGATAGTCTCTATTGAATTTGACGTTGCACCCAGTGCACCGGCCTGGAGCAGGCCGCTTCTGCGCCTCGCGTTTGTCGTGTTCATCGTTAATTTTGTTCAGCATTTGCTGTATTTTGCACCCTTTCTTATGTGCCTTCCAGTCTGATTGCTGGCAGGAGGGCCTGACGCGATAAAAACGCGGAAAAACACGTAAAAACGCGTTCAATGTAGGTTGACAGCACGACGAACGATTCTGACGTACGAGCAATACCAAACGTTCTGGCAGCCTGAGCAGCGAGCTGCAGCGTCCTTTCCGCAAACTTCGCAGTCCATTATTACTAAGTAGGGCCGTGGGTGATGGTCGACGATAAGGTGCGTCTATCTAAAGCAAAGCTGGGATGGATGTGATCTACTGAATGCAATCCTCCCAACAAAGTTGAGGACGCGCATTACGTAACGGGACCCCGCGCGGCGTGAAGCGTCCACTCCGCAGGGCAGCGTCGGCTCAGCGGGTTAGTTGTATACCCTACCAATATATATTAAACAATGACGCGACAATTATTGTCCTTGTAGTTCAGTTGGTAGACTGCATGTCACCTTGCAGAGGCGCAATGCATGAAGTTGGGAGTTCGAGTCTGGATATGGGCAGTTTCAGTACACTTTTTTTCCGATGGGTTTTCAGTTGTAAGATGTGTACATCGCTCGTGAATCAAAACTCATTACACCAATGTCGAGCTGATGGTAAGCACCACGGGTTGAAATCCTGAAATGTTTTTTATAGGAACTATTTGCATGCACTGTATCTTTGATTCCTATAAAAAGTAACTGTGATTTACACCTCCGCCCAGAGTTATAAGACCGACTTGATGCTTTCCCCTCCGTCTGGTGCTCCCCCCTTTCACCCCAACGAAATTGTCATTCTCAGTAAATATCACATAAAATACAATACTTTGTGTCCGCCCAGGACCGCCCTACGTACTTTACATCAGGCTCCTAGATCTAGAACCATCCACCCTCATCCTCTCTGGAGACTGTGGGAATGCACCATGGGCGCTACGCAGACTTGGCGCACAGCCGCCTGTGCAGTCACTTCACGATGGCCTCGACCTTCCTTTTACGGGCCGCGCGTCCTCAACTTTGTTGGGAGGATTGCATTTACAGCCGTTTGCAGATCGATAGACCACCAATTCAGAAAATCGTGTATAGTCGGAGTGGGTCGGAGTGGGTGCCAGGGACATCGGAAGAAGGTGGGGAAGTCCAAATGGTCTGGTTTCCGTCTCTCGGGGACTTACAATTGCTTGTCCAACGTGGTCCGACTGTAAATGATTTTTGAAAAGTGGGCCCATCAATCTGCAAACGGCTGTAGTATGTGATCTGCAGCCTCGTGTGGTACAAGGCGTGTCACTAATATTCCCGCTACCGTAGGTAGTGGGTCTTGGACCCCCCGGCCGTTCGCAGGTTTCCTGCGATCGTTTCAAGATCTACGCGATTTATTTGACACTATTTGGCGCTTAACCGTATATGGTGAACGGCAAGAGCGGGACAGGGCTTTGGACCAATCAAAGGTGGGGTCCTTACAGTCGTTTGCATAAGAAACTGAATATCACGTTTCCGCGCGCGTTGTTTGTCCGCGCCAAATATGCCCTTTTCGGGTATCGGCAAACGCGCGGCAAAGGGCTTACCGGAGGGCAGAGTGTTCCTCAAAACACTGTAGACATACTGGAATGACTGATTATACTAAGTACAGCTATATATTATACATTGCATGCAATTTACGAAGCCCTTTGATTCCCCTCCAGACATCTACAAGTCCTTACCTAGCCAATGAGCCCCGCGAGAGGCCGTCTGAAGTTACCCGAAAAGGGCATATTTGGCACGGACAAACAGCGCGCGCAGAAACGTGATGTTCAGTTTCTTATGCAAACGACTGTAAAGGACCCCGATAGTTATGCCACGTGTCATTTCTCTTCCCCTTTATAGCCCAGGTGGCGGATGATTGTCAGACAGAACTGACCTTGCTGGGGGCCTTGGACCTTGCGGTCTCAAGGTGAAATCAGAATACTCCGATGTCAGTTGTTTTTCATATGTAACTTGTATTCTCGAAACCTGAGGGAGGGATACGGTAGCGGGCTCTGCCGTGCTCGCACGGCCCTACCGCCTTATTAATTAAGCCACGTGCTGAGTGCTGAGCGCTGAGCATGGCATGCACGTCTACAAACGTAGACTAGAACGTAGAAACCTGAGAAGGTTTGTATTGGAACGCTACATAAGCAGTCGTCATGATCACCTCAAGATTACAACTGGTCTATTTCTCTTTCCCCTGTGTGGCCTTGATCCTCGAACTTCGAGAGAGATGGTGATTTATTACAGAACAGTCTTAGCCAGCGAAATCAGCGCGGATGAACTCAAAGAATGTGCAGACTTGTTCAGCTCTCATTACGGCGTGTGGGGTGAGGGAGCGACAACTGTCTCGCCGTTCCTGAAACCCCGTACGTCGAACTAAGTTCTCTGGCTCTATGACGAGCCATCCGCAACTGACCTGGAAAATTCATTTCAGAAGCGAGGGTCAAGATGACTACGCACAAGCTAGCATCAGAATGCTTTGGAGAATCCTCCAGAACTGTAATTTCCACCTGCAAGATCGACGATGCGCTGGTTGGACACGCGATTGCTGTCGTTTGGGACTATGACGGAGGTAAGGGCACGTGGGCTCGAGTTTACCTGCTCAATCCACAGCTATCTACTCCGCCTAGGCCGTACAGGCTGGATTGCCCAGCTAGTAGTCCATGAATCTTTCCGGCGCCGCTGGATCGCAACATCACTCCTGCAGGCGTTGAAGGAGCATCCTCTGTTCAAGACGATTAACGTTATCGGCCTCGTTTCGTCTCATCCAGCGTCATGTAACGCTCTTGTCAAATACGCAAGTGCGTTTTGTTGCTTTTGCGTGCTTTAGAAGGCTGTGCCTCACATACCAATCTCAGATATCCGTATAGAGGATATCGACCTGGACTTCATCCGAGCCAACGCAGAGAGAGTTCTTCGAAGCACGCCAATTGGCTACCTCAAGGCATCACTGGTAGGGGGACTATTTGGAACGTCCGGTGATATGGACGCAGTCTCCTGCCTGTTCACGAAATATTTCGTCGATCATCGCGAGCCCAGGGAAGTGCTCCAGTCTTATAAGAACGCAGGTAGATGGCCTCTCGGGGACCTTCCACCCGGACACGAATTCTTGGTGCTAGTCCCCGTTGTTTCTAGTCTCTAGGCTGTCTACCGCCAAATGATTGAATATATCTTGCAGTTTACCATTCATGCAACCGCATCAAAAGAGGCAGGTACGATAGATGTGGCTGTGTAATTAGAACGCGTGGGACATTGATCGTAGTGGCGTCACCGCCCCATCAGGCAAAACGACTGCCACTGCCTTCAGCATTGCTCTCAATTCTGAGCTTTGCACTGTCGCTCAGCAACACCCGCTCGCGTCATCGTCAACGATAACGACGAAGACAATATGTCGAAAGAAACCATCGGGACTCTCGTCGTGGTCGTCCTTAAGGCTCGAAACCTCCGCGATAAGCACTCCTTTTACAAGCAGGACCCCTATGCAGCGGTATCTTTGAACGGGGTAACGAGGAGGACGAAAGCAGATATCAAGGGTGGTCAGCACCCTGTTTGGGACGAGGAACTTCGATTTCCTGTTTTCAAGGAATCGACAAACCTGTACAGAGACCTCAAAGTGGAATGTTGGTCGAAGGAACCGAAGGCAGATGACATGATCGGACAGGGCAAGATCAACATCGAAGAGACTCTGACGACAGGAGAATTTGACGGTACGTCTTCCTGATATTTTCCGTGATGCCCTGATGCCAACTCCTACGCCTCATTGCTGTAGACTGGATCCAAATGTATGAACCTTCTGGACAAGCCCGCGGGGAGGTCTATCTTGAGATGACCTTTTACGCCGCTGGGCCTCCGCCAGTGCGAAGACCGTCCAAAATGGCTCCAAAAGACCGTCTATGGCGGCCTCAGCAACCCAGTCCGCCAGCAAGCACCCCTGCTGATAAGCGTCGTTCACTGTCTCCATCTCGACCCCCAGCACAGCTCCAGCCTCACCAGCCGCCCTCATCATCCAGTGCTGAGACGCACTCTCATTCGAGCTCACTCTCAGCTTCCCCAGCGTTTCCCGTAACATCTCCTGACGGGAAGCACCTTGTTCCACCCGGCCCCTCTTCTCGCTCTCCGTCGCGATCGCCTCCCAAAGACGTGAACGCACCTCTCCCGCCTGTTCCTGACCAGCTCAGACCGACCGCACGACCCCCAGTACAAAATGTACCTTCAATACTTCGCCCAGGCGGTCCGGACGTCCACCATAGCCATAGCTCCAGTCATAAATCCGGCTCACCATCCCCTCCAGTTCCACCTGACGACCCCATCAATGCCAGATACCCATCCCCCTCCGCCGGAGCTGGGCTCGCTGCGTCGGTAGCAGCCTCCGCCTATCCTCCAGCACCAGATCTATACTTCACCACGCCAGCGCAACAACCTGCCGCAGCACCGGACCCATACTTCACCACGCCAGTCCAGCATGCGCAGTCTGCCGCAAGCTCGTACGGTTTCCCAATGCCTCACACGAGTCCGCCCGTCGCTCCGGCCTACTCCGGTCAATACGTCCCGCGGCCAGCCGAACCGCCTGAGCCTGCGCTCCCGGACCCCTACCTTGAAGTGCGCTACCACACTCCCCTGCCTCTCCCACCGGATTCGCAACCGCACCCGGCGGCGTTGTCGAATGTCACCCGCGATGAGTCTTATTTGCCAACGCCGAGGGCCTCAGACCAGCGTGCCCAGCGGCCAATCAATGAGCTGGAGCTCAGGGCGAAGGAGCTGGCGCGACTAGAGGTGGAGGCGGAACAGAAGAGAAGAAGGGAGGAGGAACGGCTTGCGGAGGAAATGGCACGATTGGAGCTGGAGGAAGAGGAAAAGAGACGAAGACAGGAAGAGGAGGACGAGGCGCTCGCCAAGGCGTTGGATCGGGAATTGAATGCCAGTACTGCGGAGGAAACGAGGGGAAGGACAGGTATGCCTGGTGCTTGGTGAAATACTATGGGTGTACAATCTCAACGCGGGACTGAAGTCAATGGACAGGAGTAATGCGCGACATACTTATTTAGGACTATTCACAACAGCAGCTGCTCATATGATTACGACTTAATAGAGAGAACTGACTACTGCTGCAGTTGCCTGCCGTTGGCGTTCCTTCGCCACTCTCGCAACGTCTGTTGGAGATATCAACCGACGACCTTTTGAATGACCGGCTACTTACATGATTCAAGAAGTCGGCTACTTCAGCTTTCGTGTCTTGTCGTCTCTTGGTTCCCGACAGTGGATTTCAATCGTGAGCTCCTCCGGGCCAGGTAATATGCCATTGTCGCGCGGCTCTCGCGTATAACGAGACAGTAGCACCAAGAACTCTTCTGGAGGAGCGCGTACAGTTACAATCGTCAATGTTTTGAGAGTGGGTACTGCGGTCAGGAAGTCTGCGAAATCCCGGACATGCTCTCCCGGCAGCGCCGGGTAGTCATAGAAAAGATGCTGGAAGGCCACTTCCTGGAGACCTGCCGCACTCTTGAGCAACCCTGACCATTGCGCATACGAACCGATACCGCCACCGTGACTTGCAGGCCTAAGGCGAAGGTTTTGCAAGCGAGGTGCCCGAAGGTATGATACTAGATGCCCTATAACATGCTTGGATTCGGTAGGGAGGAAGTAGAACGAGATGGATTCCAGTTTCGGAAGGGTGATACGGCTCTGTTCGGTTTGGTGCGCGTCCCTAACTGCTACGTCCGTATGAGCATTAGGCTGACAATAACGCTCTTGTCAACGCTCTCCTCTGCTATAAATGTGTGCGGCTTTAGGGCCCCCTCCTGCAGCCCTGCACTCCTTTCTACACAAATTGCGAGTCAGCATAGTTCCTCGTCGAGCGTCCCACTGCTTGAATAAGGCGCCTTGGATTTGGAATGTGGCGTTTGAACTTGGATGTGGCGTGGCGGAACAACACCACGAATAGGCGCGTGAGAGACGCGGATTTTGTAGGCAGAGGCATAAATTATCCTCAGTAGAGCCTGAACAAAGGGATATATCAGGCCGCGGAGCGCGTCTTTGCCGCCGCCTCAACTTGAAGAAGCCAAATGCTAGCACGTGGAGAGCACCGCCACATCAATGGTGTTCCTCGAACTTCCGTTAGCTTGTCAATCGCAGCTGCTGTCAATCGAGCTGGTCGGGGTCTATGTCATGGATCTCGCGATCGGTGCGCATCTCATCGTCAGCCACCGCTGGCCGGCAGCACCGTGGCGTATTAAGCAAGAGTCGTTTGGCCAACATTCCATTCACCGTTCCATACCACGGCGAGATGCCCCAACCTAATCAGAAGATGAAAGTTTTGATAGTCGGAGGGGGCGCTTCGGGTAACGCTGCTTTCATATTCCATGAATAATGTTCTTAGCAATCGTCTAGGAATGTCGGCTGCTCTCGCCTTCGCTCAGCATCCAGACCGTTTCGAGGTCAAGCTGTACGAGCGCTCGGCGAGCCCAGGAGGAATGGCGACGTCCGAAGCCATTGATTCCAAGAAGTACGGGGCCTCGTACATCAACGACGGCGTGCAGGGCGGGAGCCCGCAGTTCGCCAACACGTTCGCAATATTCGAGAAACTGGGGTTCAAGGGCTCCGAGGTCGGCTTCCAAATCAGCTTCGGCAGAGATCCCCAGGAAGAGTTCTGGTCGAACGTGTTCCCGAGCGAAGTCATTGACAAGTAGGTGGGTTTTCAGCGGCCGAAGCAACATCCTGAACTTGCCCATCAGGTTCGGACCGGATATCAAGAAATTTGGCAAGGTTCTCAAGATCATTAAGGCGATGGAGCCCGTCTTCGCCTTTGTACCAGTTAACAAGATGCTCCCTATGTTTGGCTTTTCGAAGGTAGCTTCATACCGCAGGTTTGCACTCATAACGTCTCTCAGTTCGTATATCCAGGACTTCGGCGACCGGATTGTCTACCCATTGGTTGCCCTGTTTTTCGGTACGGGCAACCAGACGCCGTACATCTCGTCGGCCATCCTAGAACGGGTTTTCATGGACCCGAGCATGAAACTCGTGAGCCCGTGCCATTCCCCGCGCAATAGCACTTTAACGAGTAAACCTGAATACAGTTCGAGTACTCCCCCACTTCGTTCCTCGCCTCCATCCCCGAAATGCGCGCCTTCCCACGCCTCTCCCTCGTCTACGACGCCTGGAAGAAGGAAGTCGAGGAAACCTCGCGCGGGAGCGTCTCCGTCGTCACCTGCCGCGAGGTCACGAAGGTCAAGCGGACGAAGAAGTGCGTCACTGTGTGGAGCCGCCCGACGCGGGGTACGAATAACGACCAGGAGGTCGAGGGTCCCGGCGAGGAAACGGTGGAAGAGTTCGACCAGCTCATTTTGGCGGTCGACGCAGACGCAGCGTTGAATATTCTCAATACGGACGCGCGGTGGCTGGAAAAGAAGGTGTTGGGGAACGTCAAAGTAGGTTGTTTTCTTTTCAACTCGCCGTGCTTGTTTTCTGACCGTGGGTTATGCAGTATCTGTGGGATATCACGATAACCCATAACGACCTCGACTACATGAAGAAGGTAACTCAATTTTCCCATGTCGCATCATCGTCCACTGACAAGTCATCACTCAGTACTACCGCCTGGAGTATGACCCGTCTCTGCGTTCGAAGAAACGCGTGGAAGCGCAGGACGAGGAAGCGATGAAGCAGTTCGAGTTCGCTGAGAAGAACTTCAGGCCGCTCTACTACGTCCGGTCGTACCCCTCCGACAAGACGAAAATAGAGATGAGCTTCGACTTGACGAACTATCAGCCCCAGGTACGTGTGTACACATAACAGACATTGGGCATTATCATGATGAGACAATTCACTTTACTGATACATTATATTGTGCAGTTCAAAGGCGAATCTGCCTACGGCCCGGATGGCACCGGCTGGCACGACGAACGCACGACCTCCCCGGGCGAGGAAGATACCCACGCCGGGCGCAAGGTGCCCGGGGAAGAGTACCCCCCATTAGAGGAACACGTCTTCCAAACGATCTTCCTCGACAAGGACGGAAGCGAGGAGCTCTGGAGCCGGGTCGACATTGACAAGGACAAGGTGATCCTGGAGAAGTGGTGGAAACAGCAGAGCCACCGGTGGCAGCACTACGCGGGGACGGTCCCGTGGATGATGTGGATTAATGGACGGAATAGGACGCACTATGCCGGGGCGTGGACGATCCTGAGTGAGTGACGAGTGATTGTTGGATGCAACGGCTGGTTTTTGATGGGACCTATGTTCGGGTGCGGTCATTGATATTGATTGACTGACTGACTGTGGGCCGTTTGTTAGACATGCATGAGATCGCCGTCGTGTCAGGATTTGCGGCTGCGTACAGGTTGGGGGCCGAGTAAGCTGACTGGTGATGTACAGCTGGTTGATTGTTAATTGCTGACCGTTGCTGCTGCTGCAGGTATCCGTTCAAAGATAGCGAAGAATGCAAGAGGCTATTTTCGCTTTACTTGGGTGCGAGTCATGGCGTACGCATGGTATGTGAGCTTTCCCCCTCGCGCTCGCGCTTAGTTCGCTGAAGTTGTTTATGCCTGCAGAGGTCTGAAGACCGGAAAGGATTTTTCAAGTAGTCCACGCAGCCGTATTAGTGGGATGTGGTAAGGAGGCCTCTGTAAGAGCATGGAGAGCCGGGCCTGTATGTTACATAATAAATAATCCGGGTAGACTGTAGTACAGATCCAAAGCTACACATGCGCACAAACAGAACACGGCTTGCGGTTCCATAGAATGGAAAATCACGCCGCCCGGGGCATGGATATCTCAGGCGGCGCCTGCTCCGTCTCCTGCGTCACCCGCACCTGCATGGGCACCGCATAGGTCTGATTGCGCGGCGGCCGGTAACCCCTCTCGAGATCGTCGTTCGCGACCTTCGTGTCGTCGTCGCCGTCGTTCAGCTGGTACGACTCCGTGCCGACGCCGCTGCCCACGCTGACGATGTGCAAGAACGACGTCGGCGGGTGCTCCTCGATCGTCGTCTGGCTGCCGAAGCGTGCCTTGGGCGGCGTGCTGGGCACCTTGAGCGCGCTCTGCACGCCGGCGCTGGAGCCGACACCGCTGCCCACCTGCGTGCGCGAGCCAACATATCCCGTGCTCGTCGGCTGCGTGGCGATGACGAAGACGTTGTTCACGAGGCGCGTGGTCATGATGGACGTGAGCGCAATGTGCATGGGTATGACGCTCGACGCGATGGCGGGGTTCGGGACGGCTTCGAGGAAGACGATGTCGATGATGCCGACAACGACGGAGATGAAGAAGTAGAGAACACCGTCGCGCAGGAGGAGGGTCTGCATGGGCGAACGGAATTGGCTGTATTGGCGGCGGTTGGCGACTGCGGGTCATGTTAGCTGGCGAATGGTGTGTGCTTGGCGGCACTTACGCAGTTTCATGATGGTGAAGATGAAGACGACCGCGTCGTACACGGCGTTTGCAATGAAGGAGGCACTGTGAGGGGGCGTCAGCGGCTTGCTGTGGTCATGGCACCAGAAATTCCTTACGGCGTGTATTTCTCGCTCCGGGTTATCGTGCAGCCTCCGGTAGGGAGGTTGCCCGCGCTTTGGGCAAACGGTGCGGTGAGCGACGTGCCAAACAGTACTATCCACAGGAACGCAAGTGTGTAAGTGACAGTCTTGTTCTTATTCCAAATCGCCAGCCTGGATTAAATGGCGTCGTCAGGATTCCTCCTTCGGTATACGAGAAGCGCGGAGACTTACACTCGATAGAAGTAAATCAAGGAGACGGACGGCAATACGCCGACTCCCCCAACGGTCAGCGCAACCAGGCCGGCGGCGTGACATGACTTGGGGTGGCCAATGCGTATGAGGGTTTCAGCGATGACTACCGCAAATGCGCCGTATCGCTGGATGAAATAGGCCCAAATGACTGGACGCCTGTACCACCGGGGTGTCCGCAAGTAGTTGAAGTCCTGCCAGAGGTGAAGTGCGATCTCCCAGCTGACGAGTACTACCGCGGTAAGCGCGATGTAGTCGAAGTCAAGGCGCTGCTGGGGGGTGGGTGGGGCGGGAGCCATGACTTCTGCCGACGTGAATCCTCGAGGTTCGGGGGGTAGCAGGGAGAGACGGGTCTGCCTGCACCCCACCGGGCGCGGCAGGATGACTTTAAGTCTATGCAGCAAACATAACACCGATGTCTGTCTGGCGCCAACTTTGATGTACGGTGTCCTGCCAGGTGATGCACATAGATCTATCGCGATGCCATAGACATTCCAAACATTTGTCAACGGACTATGATGCTGTGCGATCTAGTGCCGAGGGAAAACGCGGTGCGTGTGCGGGCTTATCAATATTGCAAGCGGTCATATCAAGGTAAGTACTTGGCTCTGGCGTGTCCGGAGGTCAGCAAAAGGTACAATACAATGAACCATGATGCAGACGAACTCTATCAAAGGATGATTGTCAGTGGATTGGATACGCACCCAAGGCAGCAAAAGGACTCTCATGAAGCCGGGCGAGCCGGACAAGAGTCGGGACTAAGTAGCTATGATCTGATCTCTTGATTAGCTCCAGTCAGCGCAGTCACGAGCACCGGCGATGCGGTAGACTAGGGTAGAGTTGGGTACGTAGACACGAACATTATTGGGCAGTTTGCGTCAGGAAATAGATTAACCAAACTGGGCTCCGCTCTGCACATCTTCTCCATGTCCGAGGCCACGTGCGTCGCTCTCGGTTACCTCGGGGGGCGCAGACATGCTATCGAGTCGCGATACCGTATCAGTCCTTCCATAGCGACTGCCCTCTTTTGCGCCCGGATCGACTCGGGACGTGTTTGATCATCATCACTCTTTCTACAGTGCCAAATATTCACTCGGGACCGACGGCCTAACACGTTCGCCGAACAGACTCGGGAATCGTACAGTAAGAAACGGTCCTGCTTTTTATCCATACCACGCTGTTGATGAAACACTGATTATCATTGTATAGTCAAAATGCGGAGTGGTGCTAAGGCACGCCGGACGCCGCACTCGTGCAATTTCACTTCTATGGAGGAATCGGCATGATGTTCAGGCCAGTGGGGGCGCTAGGCCCGCCCAGAGATGCACCTTGCACAGCACTAGCGAAATGTCCCCGATGGGCCACAAACCAGATGAAACTTAAGTAGCCAATGACCCTAAGTCCGAATTGCCACAATTCTTGCGTGCTCGTCGCCTGCAATGTCTGATCTTCCTTTCAACGCTACCGTACTTGTCATTGGCGGAGGTCCAGCAGGAGCCTATGCTTCCGCTATCCTCGCGCAGGAAGGTATCGATGTGGTCTGCTGCGAGGCGACACAGTTCCCTCGGTACCACATTGGCGAGAGTCTGCTTGCCTCCGTAAAGGCATTCTTGAGCCTTGTTGATGCTGTCGAGAAAATCGACGCCCACGGTTTCCACCCGAAGGTGCCGATATATATATTTGTTCAACGTGACTTGGACTAATAATTACTTGCTCCCGCTAGCCTGGATCCGCTATTAAATTCCGCCCTGATAGGCCTGAAGCTTATACGGACTTCATTGCCGTCAATCCGAAAAACGGCGCTTGGAACGTAGTAAGCACTAGTGTCTCCACCACCTGGCTAGCACGCTTGTACTGACTACAACTTATCTGAAACGCAGACCCGCTCAGAGTTCGATGAAATCCTCCTCAACCACGCAGCTGAGAAAGGCGCCAAGGTTTTCCAACAAACCCGCATCGAGAGCGTAGCCTTCACCGACGGGCGTCCCGTCTCCGCGCAATGGAAACGCGGGGATGAGACAGGCACCATCTCCTTCAACTACCTAATTGACTGCAGCGGCCGACAGGGCGTCCTCTCGAGCAAGTACCTCAAGAACCGGCACCACAACGCCACGCTCCGGAACGTCGCGACGTGGGGGTACTGGACCGGCAAGCGCGGCGTCTACGGCCAGGGTACCACCCGGGAGGGCGCCATATTTCTCGAGGGCCTCATCAACGGGTCGCCGGGATGGGTATGGTATATCCCCCTCGCTGACAAGGTGTCCGTCGGTGTCGTCATGCACGAAACCGACAACATCCGGTTGCGGAAAGAGCACGGCAGCGTGCGCCAGCATTACCTTCGTTCGCTAGAACGCGCACCTGGTGTTTGCGACCTGTTGAAGGACTCACAGCTCCAAGGGGATGTGCAGAGCGCGTCGGATTATTCGTACTCCGCGACTTCGTATGCCGGCGAGGGCTGGCGCCTTGCGGGAGACGCGGCGTCGTTTATCGACCCGTTCTTCTCGTCTGGTGTTCATCTCGCCTTCAATGGTGGGTTGTCGGCCGCCATATCGGTGCTAGCGTCGCTGCGCGGGGACGTGCCCGAGCAGAGAGCCGCGGCGTACCACGATAAGAAAGTCTCATTGGCTTACACGAGGTATGCCCGATCATCACGGATTAATGTTATTTCGTAATAGTGCTGACATGGCGCACGCAGGTTCCTCCTGGTCGTGCTCTCTGCTTACAAGCAGCTGCGCTACCAGGATATGGACGTCCTCTGCGACGTCGACACGGGCAACTTCAATGCGGCGTTCGACATCTTGCGGCCCGTCATCCAAGGCACGGGTGATGTCGCGGCGTCGCAGACGCGCGCGGCGACGGAGGAGACGCTAAGCAGGACGATGGACTTCATCGCGAGCGTGCTCACGACCTCTACCGCTGAGATCATGTCGGCGAAGGAGAGCGGGTACATCCCCGCGCACCTGCTCGAGCGCGAGGGCGAGGTACTCGGCCCGGACCAGATCGCGAAGCTCGTCAGCGACACGGGTGCGGACGAGGCGACGGAGAAGGCGCTGCGCAGCATCAACGCGCGGAAGCCGCTGCAGTTGTACGACCCGTCGAGCAACTTTGAGAAGGAGGAGGTGCTGGGGATGGTCGCACACCTCCAGCGAGGGAATGTTGGACTTCGTGACATCGGTTCTCTGCCTGTCTCGGTTGCTTGTTAACCTTGACATTGAGATGGCTTATTCATGTAGTTAGATTTTTTTCAATAGAGGCTAGTTACTCCTCCCAATCCCTTGTGTCGTTCTTGGACGGTTGATACCATGTATTACTTGTTTGTAGTTTATTGGACTTTTCATACAAACATCATTGAATCTGACTGTTGACTGCCATCCCAGATGCTTCCGTCATTCAGCTGAATGCATAGCTCGTGATAAATTGCAAACGTATGGACATGAGTCGCAACTCGCTCATGACATGGATGTACATTACACCGTATCTGTCTCATTCATACATTCTGACTGTATGAAACATACTAGGACGGGAACAATCGCAGAACGCAGGCTCGCGCGTGCCGGTCATTCGATAGACGCATTCGTGAGCTAGCGCCTCATTTCGTTAGATTGTAGGAACCGAGCAATCACGCAGTGATGCGAAGGTACACTGATACTATACAGCAGAGATTCTATTCCGCAGAACAGAATGAACCAAATCATGATCAATCAAGGTACTTATCAAAATACTCCATCATACACTCGGTCGATCTCTTCTTTGAAGAGTGCATACGTCTTCGGTCGTAGGGGCGTGCCTTTATCAGCCAGTGGTATCGTTTTCACTACTTGCTGCTCTTCCGTAGAAGGTGAATCATCGAGAGGAACGACTCCCTTCGGTGTCAGGACGATGACACACGTGCGAGCGATACGAGCGTTTCGCGGGGCAACGGCATTTGCTACCTGCACGGCACTCCAGATTTGCTCTCTCAGTCCGTTATCCAGCTCGACAAATGAGCCGGACACGCGGGGTGCAATCAGCACGCCTAGGAATGGTCGGGCATGACCAAAGATAACGGCGTGTTGAATGATCGGCGACTATATGCCCATGACATCAATAATCCCCTTTGTGGCATTTTCATACTGTGATGGTACTCACCGCTTCAATCTGCAATTCCATTGGACGTGGATTCCAATTTTGTCCGGAGCTCAGCAGGAGCACGTCGTCGCTACGTCCGCAGTGTCGCCATGTGTTGGATCCAGGTTCCGGATATTCTTGGAACAAGTCATGCGTGCTTAAATGACCTGTCTCCGGGTCCGACCCAGGAAACTTGCCGGACAGTTCCGACGAATGTAAGATCAGTTCATAGACACCTGAGGAGGGATGTCCGAATGGCTCAAAATGATGGTCAACGTTCCAACAGACTCGCATAGCCTGCCAGTTGGGGTCGCCGCGAGGTCGATTCGAGTGAAGCTAGGCACAACACAGTTAATCAGAAGGGGGCACTCCATGAATCTAAGAATCACGGCACTCACAAGGGAGCCGCCTTCGGTACTCCCAACGCCTTCAACAAGGTGTACTCCCTGATTGACGATCCAATCACCGTTCTCACGGGGCATGGGGGCGCCTGCCACAAGGACTCGCTTAAGTGTTTTGAGTAAATCAATGCCACCTTCACTTCGGGCTAGTCCCACGACCGAGCTGGACACGCCAAAGAATTCGGTCGCTCCGACGCGCAGCGCGTACTTCCGTAAAGTCTGCGCACCAGGGAACAAGCCGTTGTTATCATCAGCTGGCAGAGGCGGGATAGCGAAGGTATGCCCTCTGTAGAGGGCGTTCAGCAGTCCGCCGATGAGGCCAAACATCTTTGTACCATGATTGGCGTGAGTTCCTGACGTATCACGGACCAATGACATACATGGAAGATGGGCGGTTGCCCCACTGCGACATCTCCGCGAGTGTGAAGGTTGTCGACCCACCAGGTACCGCCTTGCAAAGAACGCAGGAGTAGCCTATTAGACAGGGGGACGGGCTTGGGAAAGGCGGTGGAGCCTGACGTCTACAAAACAAAGTCCATTAGTTCATCGACCGGACTGTCTTACATTGTATCTTAGAAACTGACGTGTTGCATAATCGCAGTGTCATCTCCCGAGATAGTGCCAAAGGGCAGGGAGGGAAAGGGATTCTCTGCCTTCTCGACATCTGAAGGCGGGTCTTGCAGTTCGTTCTTCTCGACTGCGAAAATTGGAATTCCAGAATCGCCGCTACACTGTAACGTGGTCCATATCCTCTCATATAATCCGTTCTCCTTGGCTGCTACGATTGCAGAGACATTGCCGACCTTCACCAAATGACGAACAGCTTCGTCCGAGTTGCGGATGGAGATGCAGAATGGCACAGCCCCCAAACGCAATAGCGCGAACATAACCGCAGCCAGAGTGTATCCGGATGGGAAGAACACGCCCACGACGGCTCGCGGGCGGATGACTGAGGCTTGCTCGTCCAAAGTCCATTTCCGGGCAAGGCGACTGACATGACCGTCGAAAATACCGTATGTAATAGGTTGCGCGTCCGTGTCTATGCTATCGCGCTCGGGACGCAGCAAAAAGCGTTGGTTAGGCTCCGAATGCGCGCGAGAGGCAAGGACAGAGTCCAGCGTAATGGGACGTTCGGGATCGACAGTCATCGCCTGAAGTGATTGCTAGTTGGGATCGTGAAAAGCTGGTGCAGTTAAAGAAGGGCGACTATCAGGCAAAGCTATCCTTGGCTACACCTTGGAGGTAAATCCTGATGAAATAACTGGAATAACGAATAAGCTGTAACGCACTGGGGTTACACTGAAATCACTGTCATCTCCATCCGAAACCGGAGGTACTGTATCACCTGGAGCATGGTCATGACTGGGCGCCCATGATCGCCTCGGCGCCCGTCTCTGCGAATGCAGAACGATAGGGCCCACAAGTGCAAGATAGCAGGTCCGTCAGAGAACGCATGTGCCAACAGTTGAGGGAAAGAGATCACTGGATGCATTCAATGCTGAAAATAGCCTAGGGCAGTCAAAGGCACTGCCATCATCGCCCGTGGAGGTATCGGTTTGAAATTCCAGACTTTCCAGTCTCAATTTCGTGTCGGACCGATCGCGCTCATATCGGAAACCGGGCCTTGTTCTCGGACTGATGATCAGGGCGCTCTAATCGCCGCAGACATCCCTTATCTGCAGAAACCTGTGCCAGAGAGAAGCTGATCATGATCAATGAATTGATCTCCGAGCAGGCCATAGCTTCGAGTGCGACAAACAGATCCAAATGACCGCCCTTGTCATGGACTATGAACAGGCGCCAGAGGTCGTTCTAAATGTTCAAACTCCTTCGCCCCCTCCGCAGTCGCCCCAGGACACCCACAATGGCCTCATCTGCGCACTCAGTCACCACCAAGACGGTCACTTCAAAGGCCGACGGGATCAAGATCTACGCGGAAGCCATAGGAGATCCCAGCAAGCAAGCCATCGTCTATATCCACGGAGTGAGTCTATCCGTTACACAACCATCGCCTGGGCTTAAGATGCGTCTGAACAGAATTCCACGTCGTCCGGAGTGGTACGAGTGATCCTCCTTACTGCATGTAGCTCACTCAGGAACTTGGTGAAATGTAGTGGGACTACCAGTTTTTCGACGAAGAGCTGTTGAAGCATTTCTACCAAATCAGATTCGACCTCAGAGGTCACGGCCTCAGCGAAACAGTGAGACCTACCTTGTATCTCCGCCAGTGAAACAGCTGTGCTTACAGTCCCACACAGCCCGACGTCGAGTCCGAAAGCCCTTTCGACAACGACAAGCAGGGCAGTGATGTCGCAGCGGTCTTGGAGGGCTTCTCCGTCACCAAGCCCATCTTTGTCGGGTGGTCATACGGCGCACTGATCCCCGGAGACTATGTGAGCGTGCACGGGTTCGACAATGTGAAGGGGATCGTGGTGGTGGACGGATTGACTGGACCACCGTAAGCACCAGAGGGTCCCCAAACAAGCACATGCTGGAAGCTGAGCCCTCCTTCAGGCCTGATGTACACAAGTTCTTCACCGGCGGACCATATCCCGGTTTTACCGACAACGGGGATGCGACGAAGATGCATCAGGCGTATGGCCTCTTCATCCGTGCTTTGACCTATCAGTGAGTCCCTCCCGGTGTATCCTATATGATCCAGACGCTCTGACACTGTTTCAGGCCGCTGCCTCGTGAATGGCAACTCAAGCTTCGTGGTATGCTCACCGAGACTGCAACGGCCACGCGGCAGTGGATCTTCAAGCGCAAGAAGAACTGGGGTCCGTACATGGAAGGCGCTTCCAAGGCTGTCCCGAAACTCGTGATCTTCGGTAAGCAAGACGGGATGAACAGTCTTGACTACATCGATTACATTAAGGTCAGTCATGTCTAAGAACTCGCTTCTTATGACCACTCACTCGTCGGCCCAGACCAAATGGGAGCCGTCCCTGCTCACGGTCAGTCTCATCGACGACGCCGGCCATGCATCGTTCCTGGAGAAGCCAAAGGAATTCAATACCGCCCTGTTGCAGTGGGCTGCGAAGGTGGCTCAGGCATGAGGATCATGGACTACGTACTACGCAGCTTGGGACTATTGCAATCAGTATTCATTCAGAGTTCTGATGTAGCAGGGAGATATCATGTACCATATATGCATCAACACAAGCCAGGTTCCCCTTTAGTCGCGCCGGAATGTCTCTAGAATATTATCCACGTGGAGCGCAGTCTCCAACCGGCCAAAAGCCTCCTGCATATACTCGGTGCTTCTGGAGAAAGTGACGCGGAACCACCCGGGTCTCGGGACGTTGTCGGGGGACCCAGGCCGCAGTGCGACTCCGTGCTTCAGAAAATGAGCGGACAACCTTTTCTCCAAGGCACACCCGTCTTCGGCCACAAACTTGTTCTCGGGTAGGACTCGCATGAGAAATTCGCCGAAGTAGAGCATCAGGAAATGGCCTGCGTGCACAGGTAAGGGATAAGCACCAGAGAGGATTGCATTCAAATACTCACCAGCATCGGCTTGAAGCCATGCAATGCCATGCCGCTTGCACCGCGCCTCGAGACGCCTTTTTGCGTCTTCCAGTCGTAAACTATTTTCATCCACAAACCATCGAGGTATGTGGCCCAGACCACCCAGTGTGCCTTCCCCGGAGCCCACAATGTCACGGAACCGTGAATCTAGAAGGCTTTGTGGGGAGAGGAAAGCAACGAAGAAGGCGTCGGCTAATGATGATATACGGAAGGACATCGAGAAGGACGTCAAAGCATCTTTCAGGGCTTCGTTGGCGGGTATCACCGCGAACGCCACCCTGATCCGTATATGGTCAGCTTTCCGCGGACACCGAGCAGCACAGTGAGCTGACCTGGCCTGACTGAGGCAAAAATCTTTCGACACGCTCCATAATACCACGACGCGCTCCGGTTTGAGGATCGTGTCAGTACCGGGGACCAGGGACAGTACTGACGTGAAAGCTGGGGTAACGTGAGTCCGGCCGCACGAAATGAGTGTGCCATGGCAAGGGGATAGGACTCACGAACACAGGTATCGGGGTGTACCGATAGTGCGAACACCTCGTCAGAGAGGAGGAAGAGTTCGTTCTGAGTGCATCATACCTTGTCATTAGCAGGGTGGCAAGAAGACGGAGGAAACTCACCCTTTCGCAGAAATCAGCAAGCCGGCAAAGATAGTCCCGGGAATAACACTGTCCGAGTGGGTTCTGCGGGTTAGTGAGCAGAAGTGCTCTGGGGCGTTTCTGTTGTCTCAACAGCTCGTCTATATGTCGCTGCCATGCTAGTTCGGTAGACTCCGACCACACCATGAGAGACTCTATCTCTTTGATAGCGGCATCAGCCGGGATAAAACTGCCTGCCTGCTCGGCAGATTGATTTGCGGAGGCAGGGAGAGGAGACAGCTTGACGTCCGCCTTTCCAATAATTGTTGCGAACATGAACCAAAATGGGACAGGAACGAGCACTACATCTCCTGGGTCTGTGATGACGCGAACGACCTGTTCAAGGAGGAGAGTACAGCCCGCGCCTCCGACGACCTGCTCGGGGGTGAGCGGCTTGTTAGGTTTGAAGCATTCGTTGAACAGTGCTGCAGAACACGAGAGGAGCGCCTCTGAACATGATGGAAGCTGAGCACCCTTTGTGCCGGGCCAATTCATAACTTCTCTGCCCGCTAAATCTGCAAGAAACTACTATCACATCATGAGCAGCACATTCAGTTTCGGCTGATAACTACAAAGTGCTTACATCACTAAGTTCTCGCCACATCAGGGTATTTTCTGATCCCTGAATGATTCCCAAGCTGAGTACTCTAGACATCTAATATTGAGGATGGAATGTGCATACATCTAGTTGGATGGTTCCTTCCGGATAGTCGGGCCTCCACTCGTCGCGAATTCCACGGAAGAAAGCATGCATTGGACCTCCGGGGGAAACAAACTTCGCGCGCTGGTCGCCGCGATACGAAAGAGCCATGGCGTTACCACTCGCTGTCTATGGTGGAGGGCGAGGCACAAAACGTCCGATAGAAGACTTTAAAAACGCGACGCTGTGTTGACACTGCTATTAGTATCAAACCCATGGGCCGGCGGCACAGTCGATTTGCATCATCCTGTTTACCTACTGAGTTTCTACCTACTGCATAGTAGTATTCGCCGACATTGATTATCAGCGTATGCTTCCCCACTACGACGATTCCGTGCTAAGACATACTATGCATTGCGTTTTACGTACATACAGATGCTCGGTTACAAATGCCTATGGCATATAAACTTGAGGGGTATATTCACAAATCACTTGTGCTCCGTGAAGCTTCTGCCAGTGGACTCGTTGGTATCAGAGGTCGCCTTCCAGGCAGCGAAGTAAGTGGCCATGCCGTCTACGAGGCCGGGCTTCCTTGGCTGCCAGCCCAGAAGAGCCCGTGCAAGGTAGGGACGGAGTAGTGCCGTGCTAGACAGTGCTTGGTAGTATGCTGATGATGAAACATGAGATTATCATTCCATGGGGCGGTAGACCAGGGACTTACGGTTGTCGGCAGGAAGCCATTCAGGTCCCTTCGCGCCGCTCACCTCGACCAACTTGTTCAGCACGTCCTCCTGGCTCTCCGTGAAGTCATTAGCAGCATCGAAGATCTTACCCCCGACAAGTTGCGAGTTCTCAGCAACCCGGACGTACAGGTCTGCAAGATCGTCACAGTGGATCAAGGCATACCGGCCGCCAGGGGTACCAGGCCAGGCAACTTTGCCCTCGGCGGCACCCTTAAAGAGAGGAGCCAGAAGAGACCCGGATCGGCCGTAGAGCAGGGCAGGGCGGATGACGATGCCATTCACGTTCGGGTCGCTGATGACGCGGTTCTCCTGCTCAACTCGCCATGCGACGAGGGGCATCGGCTTTGTGGTGGGGGTGGTGTCGGTGACAACCTCAGAGCGACTGTCGCCGTGCACCCAGGTGCCTGAAGAGTATATGTAGGACAATTTGGGGGCAACGGACGGACGGTGCGCCTTCGCAGCCTGGCTAACAGCAGACAGCATGGCATTTGAGAGCGTCTTGATTTCCATTCCTCCAACAGCGTCGACTACGACATCCATGTTCGCAACGTGATTGACCCATGTATCAGGCTTCGACACCTCAGCGACAATGGGGATAACTGTAGCGTACTTCAGCAGGATTCCAAAAGAAGGCTGTTTGGGACAACGTACTTTCTTCGGCAGCGAGCTGCTTAGCTTTCATAGCGGATCTGGTAACACCGTAGACAGAATGTCCGGCGCGAACAAGAGCCTGCGCAACGGGCAATCCAATGAAGCCAGAAGCACTATAGTACCATGAACATGTATTCAACAGATCTGGGACGAACCAAGACACTCACCCTAGCACCAAGACCTTCATCTCGCTTTAGTATGGTCTGATTGCCCGCGTCTAGGCCGGTGGGGGTAAATGTCGCTGAGGGGAATTGCGTTACAGAAACCTGAGTACCTCGAGGCTACTTATATTACGGTCACCATCCCACATCCACCAAGATTCCCTGGTTCCATGACCCAGGTGAGACCGACAATGTCACGGTCGGTGTTTCGGTGGGTTACACGCGTATAATCAGTATAGCGTGGCTCCCCGGAAGCGCGTGGATTTCGCGCGCACGCCCCCTCTCCTGAGCACAAATAATAGACATATCGCGCTGAATATGGGCAAAATATGCTCAAAAGTAAGGCGAGAACACAAGCTAGAGGGCGAAAGGTTGGCCTTCAGTGTGCCTGCCACTGACGAATTTGAGACGTCACACAGTCACTGAACGTGGCAAACTCGTGGAAGACACGCGTAGTTTCTCACGATTCTCCCGAACTTCGCACCCTCTTGCCTTCCGACTTCTGTCCGAAAATAATGTGTCAATGACGACTCGTATCACACCGACCTTTTGGGGCCATATAAGTGTACTTCAACTTTACCTCTGCATTGGTATAGCTCTCGCCGGATAGTCGAAGCTCGAGTGTAGGCTGCTCTCGTATACAGCCAGTGGCGAAGACCCGAACAAAGTCAAGGTCCACGTGGTGAACTTGCTAAAATTCATGCGCAACCTTCATCCTAGACCCCACCATGGATAGGTGCCTCAGTCGATCTTATTGTTGAGTTGCAGACGATGCTAGTCCTGCAGTGTTCGGTTGTGCCACGTAGCGCGTCATGAATTCTATCCGCGCGGAAGGGACATCACTGTTACGATTTCAGCCGCGCCCTCTGCCATTGGTCGATTGCTATCCGGACGTTGCTTTTCCCCTCCATCGCGGAATTACACTGTCGCATCCGGCCGGCTTCACGATCCCCCACGTACCGGATAGCCCTTATTGGCACAGGGACGACGTCCCGGCCCTGTCAGACAGCCTACACGGTTGCTGTAGGGACCACCGCGCCAGAGAACGCCGTCCAGTTCCCCGTCACCGTTGCCTCTCGATCAGAGCTTCGTCTTCAGTGTACGCTGCTCTCCACTATCATGTCGCATGTCTCGCAATCCAGGCTCGCGGAAGATGGTAAACGGACTGCGCCCTGGAGCGATCGCAAAGCAAGACATCCTGCCATCGACTTTCCTCATCCCTGGAAGCGGTGTGCTGTGGACTATAAAGCCGTCTTGGCAAGGGCGGAAAGTATTCAACATAATCCCCTTGGCTCTTCAACATGCGCTTCACGATCGCACTCGGCTTACCAGCTCTATTTACCCTTGGCGGTGCTCTGTCTGTTCCCTCCGACTTCGCAGCCACCAAACTTAAACGCCAGACACCGAGCAATACGACAACGACGAAATCCGTCGTGGCTCACCATATCGTCGGCAACACGTACCCGTACACCGTATCAAATTGGGCCAGCGACATTGCTCTAGCGTCTGCACACGGTATCGATGGATTTGCACTCAACATCGGGCCAGATTCATGGCAATCTGCTCGAGTCGCAGACGCGTACGTTGATTCGTCTGCTCAGCCACTTAGCTATCCTCACAATCCTCAGTTATACGGCAGCGAAGAATGCTGGACCTAGTTTCAAGCTATTTATATCATTCGACATGAGGTGCATAGAAAAAATAGTCACATGCTATATTCCCAAATTGACTTTCCTCAGTGTTTTACCTTGCACGACGGCGGCAAACGCTGCTGCCTTGCGCAACTACATAACGACTTACGCCAATCATCCCAACCAGCTGAAGTACAACGGGGGTGTGTTCGCATCCACGTTCGCCGGCGAATCTTGCACTTTTGGCCAGTCTTCCGTTGCCCTTGGGTGGCAGACGCAGTTCGTGCAGATGCTCAACGGGAATAATACGGTCTACTTTGTCCCCTCGTTCTTCATCGATCCCGCGACGTTTAAGAATTACAATAATTCGTTCAACGGACAGTTTAACGTATGTTTCTGCTCGCATAATATTTCGCATGTGACTAACTTCTCAGCAGTGGAACTCGGGATGGCCTATCTCTCTCACAACATCTGTCGCAAACTCCCAACTCTCGTCGGCTGGAACCAGTCTCAACAACCTGAGCACCGCGGGGCAAAACATTCTCAAGGGCTACATCGGCTCCACCAGTATTGACACGAACTACGTCAACAACCTCAAGGCGATGCCGAGCAATGGAAAGAGTCGCGCGTATATGGCCGCAGTTAGCCCGTGGTTCTTTACTCATTATAGTCCTCAAACTTACAACAAGAATGTAAGCAACCATTTCATTGAGAGAGAAGTTTCCCTGACGCTTTGATTAGTTCGTCTATGATGGCGATTGGCATTTGTATCCTACGCGCTGGCAAAACCTTGTCTCGATCAGAAATCAGGTCGACCTGGTTCAGATTGTCACTTGGAATGACTACGGAGAGTCGCACTATATCGGCCCCATTGGGGGCGCTCAACCCAATAGTCAGGCTTGGGTAAATGGTTTTGACCACCAGGGCAAGTCGGTCTTGTTAGTCGTTGCAAGAGTAATCCATCTGAACTTTACCAGGTTGGCTCTACATGACTCAATACTTTGCGACCGCGTACAAGACCGGATCGTACCCTGCTATTACTAAGGACCAAATTTTCCTTTGGGCTCGCCCACACACTCGTAATGCTACATCGTCCGATTCCGTTGGGAAGCCCACCAACTACGAACTGGTATGTTTCCCTGTTATTGCCATGTACAAAATCTAATCCGCCGACAGGATCAGGACCAGTTATGGGCCGTTGTGTTCACCACAGCTGCCGCAAACGTTACCCTTTCTACATCTGCGGCGAAGAACCAGACATTTTCCGTGCCTGCGGGTCTGTCAAAACTCAACATGCCCCTTACTGTAGGCGGATATATGCAAGGCTCCATTATGCGGAATGGTAAATCTGTTGTTTCCTTGAAACCGTCCGGTTATACGTTTACCGCCACGCCGTCGAGTTATAATTATAATGCTTTTGTTGCTTACTCGACGTAGGCCAGTTCCGGATATTATGTATCGCTTATGATTGCTTAGTCTTGTTCTCATTCCATACCATTATACTGTGTAATTATGTATCACTAGCAATTTCTATACTATTTGTGATAATTTATCGTGATAGTCCACTAGAACACCGTCGCCAATGCACCGCCACAACCTAACGTTCATCTTCCGCTACGTCGTCTCCCCCCAATTTGCAGGTTCCTAACCTGCGCAGACGATTCCGAGAAAAACCATGTCTCAATTTGGCACAGGTGATGCACCGGAGACGCCGGTGAATCGTACACTAATATTCCAGCCGCTTGCAGATCGATAGACCATCAATTCAGAAAACCACGTATAGTCGGAGTGGGTCGGAGTGGGTTCCAGGGACGTCGGAA